CTCCAAGTAGGATTCCTAATTATATCCTAAAAGGACTCCACATAATTAGTCATTTACTATAATACAAGTATATTATAACACTGCCTCTTGAATGTCTATAGATTATGTGCCTCGTTAAAATTTTACTAGATAAAACCCGTTGGAGAAAAAACTAGTGAACGAAAAAGAGTACACATATCTAATTATACGCATTATAGATGTCTCATTAAAAACCTTACAAGGAAAAATCCAATGGGACAAAACCTTGTGAGGAAAAAAGAGTACATCACGTATTAACTCCCCTAATGAGGATATCAATCCAGAGACTAGAATCTTCGTTTTTCAAGCTTGTGCACTATCTTCTTGAAAGTTGTAGTTGGTAAAGACTTGGTGAATAAATCAACTGTAGTATTACTTGAACAAATATGTTGCAGGTTGATATCACCATTCTTGGGAGCTCGTGTGTAGAAAAGTTTTGACGAAATATGCTTCCTTCTATCTCTTTTAATAAATCATACCTTAAAGATCAATGATTTCTGCAAGTTTCTTACTTCAACTTCTTTTAGCAAATAATCTTTTGCCTTTTTAAAACTCTTCAAGAGTTTCAATTGTAGTCATCAACTTGCATAATAATACTTGTAGATGTTTAATGCAATTTGAATCTATTTAATCCTTATGAGGATTATAAACAGGTTTTCCAAAAACTTGTATATGTTTTAGATTTTGAATTTATCGGATATTGTCATATCAATTTTTGTCAAGTGACAACATCCAATATTAAATGTACGACATCTTCTAGTGCCTAGATTGTAAATCAAATAAGTTTTACGCTTATCAAGATGCATCATTTCACTTTTCACTTGATAATTATTTCTACACCAACATGCTTTAATAGTCGAAGAATTTATATCATCATAATCTTTTACAATATTGTAAGCTATTGTATAAAAAAATGATATATCATTTTGAATCGATTCACAATACGACATAACTTACTGAGATCTCATCACTTCATTATTTTTAGGTAGCTATCCCTCTCATGAAGTTTCATAAAGTGTTACTTTATAGGCTCTCCAAGAGCACACTATCTCCTTATTATGATCATTTTGATTCTTCGATCCTCCCTCTTTTTCACAGGGGCGGACCCACATGGTGTCCGCCGGGTGCTCCAGCACCCATTAACTTCGTTACGAAATATATATATTTATGTATAAATCGATAGGTATTTGTATAAATTTAAGATAGAGCACCCAATGAACAGATCATATAGTTGGCCCAATGGTTCTAGGATGGGTGCTTAAGACTCTTTTAATGTTGTTGTACCAAGGTTCGAATCTCATTGTTAACACATATTTTTTATAGTTTCACTTCATAGCACCCACAATCTTAAAATCCTAGATCCGCCACTGCTTTTTCAAGAATTATTTTACTTACTCGATTAGTCTATCATGCTTCATGTACCTCATAGACTTTATACTCAAGGGACATTCAATAGGAGTATTTAAAACTCATGTGTTGCTTCTAATCTCACTCTTATGTTAGACAAACTAACATATATATTAATCTTTGGTGAATCTATCTATGTGCATCATGATATATTCATTGATTATATAATACACATCAAAATAATCAAATGAAAAATATCTGGTCCATGGCCATAAATCAATTAAAAGAAAATTTGATCATAATTTATTGGTCTGATGCGTACAATTACTTTTGTATGCGGTATCATATTTCAGATCAACATATGGAGCTTAATTTTCATATGCAATGATTTCACTATCTATTTGGGACATTTAACGTCACGTCAGCTTGAATATTTATCAATATTATCAAGATAAATTGTCATGATTACATATTCTGAAAGTGGTGTTCTTAACTCAATTATCATGCACAAACAATTATGCGAATGTCTAATTGCAAGTTGACAACAAACGCACGTGTGATTATCTTATAGATGCATCGTTTTATCGTATCACATTATAGGTGAACGGGCCCATATTCACCTTTTGTACTTTTCAGAATTTATGAATTTAGTTCCAACTTTAGTTGATTCAATCAACTTACCACGAGAACAAGCAACATAAAGAATTTTTAAATAATAGTTTTGTTCTTCATTGTATGCTTATTACTTAGTATGCACATTTTTTAGATGACAAAATTATTCATGTCAACTAATAAAATTATTAGTACTTGTAAACTCCAAAGTTTACTATGTCATTTGCCTTTTACTTTAGTAAATTTCTAATTTACTATTATATGAGTAAATTTCAAATTTATTACTCCGAGAGTAATTTTCACATTTATTTCTTCTTAGTTATTCTACCCCTTCTAGAGGTGAGTGACGATTCCATCACTGAACAGATTAATTTGATTTTGAGAAAACTGTGCACGTAATCATATTATTTGTGTCAATATTTTTGCGAACATCAAGTTGTGAGATAACAATAGGCACACATGAGAGCATCTATAAGAAACATCTATTAGGAACATTGTATCTAAACAAATATTCTCACGTATATGTTCTTAGAACTCAAGAGACTCAATCTCAACTTTCATTAGTGATGTTCCCACAATTAACTTGTCTTGCTAACTTGCAATACAAGAAAATTTATCATTTAAAAGGATATTTAGGTTCTTTAATGGACGTCTATTTTAATTATCTATAATTCGTCTCATCATTATAGACCCATGATGTCCCAGAAGATCATGCCTAATTAAGAAAGTATTAGTAAACTTCTTATTTAATATAGAATGTGTTTCAATTGCAATATTATTGTCCAATACAAGCCTGAAGATAAAACATGAAACTTTTCTATAACACATGTCTACTCAAAGACATTTTTGTTGATACCACATCCTTGACCAAATATTGCGATCTTTTCCACGGCTAGTATGGTGACTTACACCTTATTCACTTAAAAGAATGAATTTGTACATATTTTTAATAAAAAGTTCTCATTCTTCATGAATGGAACACAATCATCTAAGCGTATCTGCTTATGATAATTTTAGTACCTCATTCTATGTTCATGTGTATTATTCAATAATTTATATTCTTTTTGACGTATTATACGTTGATACCATATTCACACCAAAGAATGAAATAAATTCAGTGGAATAGGTTTCATGAATTATTCACTAAATTGCATTATTTTGTTTTAATCATCATCATAGTGCATTAGGAATGACCACAATGTATTACCCATATAAAGGCATCTTAGGCAATAAATCGATGAGATTTGAACCCAAAATTTTCTCATTTTAGTGCACGCGGACTTTAACTGGATGTCATATTCTCTTGATGCAATTGGATGTTACTTCATCGTCTTACCCTTTTGGTGCAATTGGACATAAATTCATCGTCTTACCAATACAAAGACGTCTTAGGTCATAAATCAGTAGGACTTGAACCCAATATCTTATCATCACAATGTATTAAAACTAAAATCATATATATTAAATTCGGGTGCATGATACAAGTAAATTTAATTCTTTAATTGATGTTTCTTATGCCCAATGTTTTGTTAAAGTGAAGGCACAAAACTAAACTTTTTGTGCTAAAGGTTTGTGTATTAGAGTAAACTGAGACGAGATCAACCAACATATATCTTCTTTAATTTGAGATATATTGAAAGTAAAATCCTCTTTGAGAAATATTGGAAGTAACTAACTTACCTTTAGGATATAAATTGACAATGACAATCAAAACATGATACTAGTATAAATGAATATATCAAGGCAACCACGTGAGTTGTAAGAATCAATGTTATTGCTGAAGTAATTTGCTTTCACACGATATGTTAATCTAACAATTAACGAGATATGGAACAAATCAACCCTACCTGATTACCTACCTTTTATCTATGATAATTACCTTTTATCAAAGATGAAAGAAGTCGTTGCTGATAACGTATTACGAAACTATATAAAATAATAAGAAAAATAAAGTAGGAAGAAAGCGAAGACTTCTTATCTTCTTGAGGATATTCATAAATTTACATATCTGATTTATAATAAAGAAAAATTCTTTATTTATAAGGGAAATCTAATTTGGTTTCCAAGTAGAATTTCTAATCATATTATAAAATGACTCGACATAATTAGTCATTCACTATAATACAAATATATTTATAACACCAAATACTATATCCGATTTTTCTTTTATTAAAAACTATAGGAATGATCCAAATAAATATTATTAATTTGTGATTATAGTACCTCGTGTTTTATGTAAAGCGGTCAAAAAGGATTTTATGTTTGTCCTCTTATTCATACTTACTAATTAAGTCAAAGTATATATAATATAATCAGATGAAAGTCTCTAATTTAGCGTTGACACGCGTGGTTTTTGACCTTTAACTTGTTTGTTTTGCAAAATTCTCTTGGTTGCTTCCTTTATTTTGTGAAAACTGTTTGGTTAATGTCATATTTTGATAATTAGAGTAACAACTAAAATGTAGTACTCGTAATTGTTTTCAAGAAAATGTACTAAATTACTTCTTCCATTTTGAATTGTTTGTCATGCTTTCTTTTTTAGTCGATTTAAAATTAAAATGAATACCTATTTTCCCTTGATATAGCTTTTTAATTATAGTTTTCCACCGGACATGCTTGAAACAACAAGATTAAAAGATATTTTGGTACATTCGATATACTTTTAGTCTAATACCACACAATCAAGAAATACTATTATTTTACTATTTTAAACTGTGTCAAGTCAAAACTAAACAAACAAATTTGAACAGAATTTCAAAATGCCTATTGAGGTTTTTTTTAAGTCATGCATAAATATTTTAGGCTAGCTGTTGGATTTATGTAGCAAATTTTGCAAGAACATCCCCTTAATGTCATTTATGATCTTCTGGATTTTCCAAAGAAGTTTATAGCTTGTATTAATCATGTGATGGTGAGTCTATTTCAACTACAAAAGCTTCAAATTAAGTTAGATTGATATATACACACACCAAGAAATATGAATTAAAGCTACAAATATTTCTTATGTAACTAGCATTTTGGATATAATCCTACAATGTCATTTTCGTAACACACAATATCTCTCTTCAAGATTATAAGAAAAATAGGAAGATGAAATAAACAAAAAAAAAAGGTTTTGACGTCCATCAAAGCCCTAGTATATTAGAAATTTTCTTACATTACTTTGGAAAAATCCTTATACTAATAGAACTTGAGAGATTGAACAATCATGTTGTTTTACACAAACAATATATTTTTGTTTAATTTAAGAGCTCTAAATATTACGAAGTAGTTAAACAAACTTAACATAATGGCCATGAATACATACCACATATATGTTGATCGTAGTACTATATACTACAAAATTAGAAGACATGAAAAGGAACTTAGATCTTCAGATTATCCGCTGCCATATATAGCTCCAACCAGAAATCCACAACATTAGATGAATCAACACTCACATCCATGAAATCTTTTATGTGCAAATCAACACTTGATGATGAGGAAGTAGTATCGTCTGGATTACTCTCCAATATAACTATGTTTTCATCATCAACTTGATTGACGATTGAAGTAACATCATTGTGTTGATTAGATGTTTCCAAGAAATCATAATTTTCGTCAAATGTGATGTAGCTAGAAGAGGAGGAGGAGTTGGTGAAATCAAGTGATTGAATATTTGGACAATTAGTTATCAAAGGCTTTTTTTGAGTACTCATCTCTATTTGTTTAGCTTTCTTCCTTGATTTAGGTTTCACTTCAACTTTTGTCCCAAGGTGCTTCTTTAAATGTGTGTGGTAGAAATTCTTGATTTCATTATCTGTTCTTCCTGGCAATTCTTTAGCTATAGCTGACCACCTTTAACAAATTAAAACACATATATAATTGGTTCATCGAAAATTAATGAGCTCTATATATGTATGTTACATATAAGGTTAAGGTTTAATTCTAACCTGTTACCAAGCGATTGATACATTCTAATCACAATTTCCACCTCCTCGATGCTAAAAGGTCCTTTCTTTAGATCAGGTCTCAAGTAGTTGATCCATCGGAGTCTACAACTCTTTCCGGTTCTTGATAGCCCTAAAAACAACAACAACAAATACATATGTGATGATGAAACCCTAAAAGCAACAATAAAACCCTTAATATTAGTATTGTTTGGTTAAGTCTAATTCTTTCCCCTATAGGACCCAAAAAAAAAAAGACAAGTGAATGAAATAGCTAGTGTTATTTATTGTTGAACCTGCAAATTTGGGCATGTGTGACCAGTTCCAAATACGATATTTCATGATATAATCAACCAATTTTTGGTCTTCATCAGGAGACCATGCTCCCTTCTTTACATAATCCATAATTATGGAACTTCCAATTAATCACAAACCTTAATTTCTATATTTATAAGAGGGAGGGGGGTAAGTCTTTATTTTCCAAGAAACTTCCCCTCACTTTGACACTACTACATGGTATTTTAAAAATGATTATTTAAGTAGACTTTTGGTCATATTTTGTTGTGATAATTGAAGAGAGAAAAGAAACATAGTATTTGTTTTCAAAAGTGAAAAAAATGATTTTTTGAAAATTGGCAAATTATGAAAATTATTTAATAAAGTTATCCAAGTATTTACAAATCTCCTACAACTAACTTAAGTTAAAACTCCATATATTGACCACCTATTTATTACTTAAAAAGAATAAATTACATTAATATACATCTTATTTTATCATAATCTCTAAAATTTTCAATCATTTGAAAAAATTACAAAAATTCCCTCTCTGATACATCCCTCCCCTTTTGGATACATCTTTATCCCCTCTCGGATATCCCTCTCAAATGATCATTAAGTAATGTAGCATTTGCAAGCCCTGATCTATGTATCCGCAGGTTTCCTGATGTATCCCTCTTAAATGATCATTAAGTAATGTATCATTTGCAACTCCTGAGCTATGTATCCGCAGGTTTCTGATGTATCAGAAATCCTATAATTTTAACACATTTTTGTAATTTAAAAGAATAGAAATAAAATGTAATTAGCTCTTAACACTATAAAATTTATGTAATATATACCTTATTCAATCCATTTTGAAAAGCCAATGTATTCGACACCAACAACCCAATCAAGTGGCACTTCTATAGTAACTTCTCTTAAAGCACATATAAAGAAAATTTATATAATAAATGAAATTTTAAATTGAGTCACGTTTCATCATCGATATGGAACAAAATATTCTGAATTCGTAAGCATTCTCTTTGTTACAATTTTAATTTGTTACAGAATTTAAGGAAAAAAAAATTTAATTTTGTGGTGTTGAATTAAAGAAAATACAAAATGTATTAAAATATTCTTTTTTTATTATTTAACTCTTATCTCATATAGAAAAGTTACAATTGAGCAAATGCTTAAAAAGTCAAAAAAAATTAAAAAAAATTCTTAAAAAAAAGATAAAGAATAGATTTTGAAGCAGAATGAGTATATAATAATAAGAATGAAGTTAGTTGTATACCATACTTGATGACTAAAACTTCTTTAAGTATTGTCAAATATAAAAAAAATCTTGTATTGAATTTAATAAAGAGATTTAAGTACGATCTACTTTTAAAGTATAAGATAATTAAATACCTAAAATACATTTCTTAAAAAAATAAAATAAAATTATGGCAATTGTTACTATATTAAAACAAAATCTGCCAACAACATTTTTTTAAATCTAAAAAACTATTTCTATAAAGCCAACATGAGTGATCATCCGTCAGTACTACAGTGGCACAGTACCGAAAAATAATTTTTAGCAGTAATAATAGACACATTAATAAAATGTACTAAAGTATTTATCGATATTAGTTAAATGTAATTAGATTCAATATCGTTAAAAGCTTTAAAAACATAAATAAAGAAAATTAATTGCCGCTAAAATACATATTGAACGATAATCGAGCTATTATCAGTCATTTATTCCATTTTTTTTTACTTTTGCCTCATGACGCATGGGTGTCAAATGCAAAAAAGGGATAATATAAAATCCAATTACGAATCGTAGTCTAATGGTATTTTTCTATCTGCTAAAATAAAAATAACTAAGTTGGAGCTAGTTAGATAGTTCTTGTGCGTTTAGTTTTTAGTATTCAAATAAAATAGATTTAAACATTTTACATCGTCATAAATAATTTTTTTTTTGTTTACATAATTATCCAAATAAACGTCAAGCTCATAGTTGCAAGTTGTAGCCGCCCCTGCCACCTAAGCATTAACAACTAATTTGGAAAAAAAATAGATGTGTGATTAGTGACAGGTGAGTGGAGATTAAAGAGAGGCAATGTTTAATTACTTGCTAATCAAGTAGTACCTTTATATATAAATCGCCTAATATTTGGAGGGAGGAAAATTTTCTTTTACCTAGAAGCAATTGGAATTAAATAATAATAACTTATTTTAAGTTATATAACGTAATTTGACTGTATTAAGAAAGTTAACGATGATAACTCATATAATTGTCAAATTATTATTATTTCGGCTTCAATATTCTCTATGGGTCACCTTGAGCTTTTGGGCCCTCATATTTTTTGTGCTCTTCGGCTTTTTTAACCTAAAAGGTTGTGTATAACTGATTTATGAACTCACTCGATCTTATGTGACCTTCACTTTTTTTCTCTCATTAGTTACGTAATAACGGAATTTAACAATACAATACATTTTAAGTAACAATCAAAACAAACATTGTAAGTATAGTAACGATACAATACAATACAATTGATAACAATGATCCAAAAATAGTATTAAAGTTCGAATGCACCATAATGAAAAATATTTGAGGGTAAGACGGTAGATTCAAGTTCTATCGCACCAAGAGGGTAAGACATCAATTTGAACTTTGATGCACCATGATGATAAGGATTGGGTTCAAGTCCATAGAATTTGGCCTAACATGCATTATATGGATAAAACATTGAGTTTGAGTCAAAGCACCATATATAATGATGACTAAAACTTTGATAAAAAGACTTGAAATTCGTCCTATTGAATTTGTTTCATTCCTTGAAAAGATGTGGTAGCAACATATGATAACTTTGAAATCCGATGTTCACTTGCTCCATTCTATCGTATGAATGTCGTAGCAATAAATAATTAGTCTGAAAGATGACAAATGATCAATGATATGAAAAAGAGCATGAAATGACGAAATTATAATAGTCATCATTGTGATAATTATTCAAGGAAGAACACTATGGGTTCTCCAAATAGTCCTTCAAATGTGAAGGCAACTTTTATTATTAAAATGATATGAAAGGTCATTGAACTTGTGGATGTTGTCGACCCAATAATTTGACAAGTTTATAAATCCTCCATCGAAAGATAAGAAGATAAAGTGATTTACACTTCTTTCAAAGTGATGTTGAGGTGTGTCATGAAAATATGATGAATTTTAAAATCATGACAATGTACTTATAATGCAAATTTATGAAGTACATATAAATGATTAGTCCATTACTTGAAGAAAAATGTGATTTGTGATGAGTATCGTAAAAGTTCGACCATTCTATAAGAGAATGGGTCAAGATGTGATAAAATCATTATGGGTTGAATATATGCCACAACTCATCTCTATGGGACGTTTGAAAAAAATATATATGTCAAAACTCACCTCTACGAGAAGATTAAGAGGAAAATAATTTATTTGACAGAAATGGTTAATGATATCATACGTTTATACGTCACAATGGTATGTTTATTGTGAACTACCGAAAGGGCAAAAGAAATAAATAGTTTTTGCCTATAAGGGTTGTGGTCATTATTGCGTGGCAATACAAATTTGTCATTGGTTGTATACCTATGGTATAACAAAAGTAAAGGAAGAAACATGTATTGCTTGTAATGATTTTGACCATGACAATAATAATATAATTTCCTCCTAAAGGAGATGTTCACTATAGGGATGATGTCATGCAATATGTGATAGTACACAAAATTAATAGCAAGCTCTAACGAGTTGTGTTATTACCAGATGAATAATAATGTGGTTGTAGTAAGTCTCAAAAGAAATTTTTAAGTTTCGAATGAATTAGAAAGAAATATTGAGACTATACATTATGAAAAGATTTAATATTTTTAAATTACTACAACTGAAGGGGGTATAAATATTTATGTAAAAGATTACCCATTTTTTTCTCTTGTTTGTTGCATACAAACATGGACATGCTGATGAAATCACATGTAAAAGTAAACTGGTGTATTGAATCAGTTGGCATGACCGGTTGACCATTCTGGTGCAAATGTAATTGAGAATTCATGTGGATTATATGATGAAGAAATAAAAGATTCTTCAAGAATTCTCTTATGTTGCTTGTTCTCTTGATAAAATGATCATTGTACCAGCTAAGGTTGGGATTGCAATCCCCTGAAGTTCTTGGAACATATAAAAAGGTGAATATGGGTCCATTCAACTGTCATGTGGATCATTTGCAACTATATGATAGATGCATCTATGCAATGATCGCATGTGCTTTGCTGTCAACTTACAAATTGGTGTTTGTAAGGTTGTTTGCTCAATTACTAAATTTAGAGCATAGTTCCAACTATGAAATTATACTGATAATGTTGGTTGGTTTAGCAGAAATTGTACGCCTCCAATTATAGCTAAACCATGGGTATGAAAGCAAAATTCCAAAATAAGATTTGATATGAGATAAATTTATTTAACATGTAGCAACCCATGTATGCATCAAGCCAACAAGGTTTCCCCATTAAAATTGGTTCAGCATGAATCATATAATTTTCATCTAAAATATTGAATGTGCGGTTATGATTTAAACTGTTCCATCACGAACAAAGATGAATTCTCAAATAAGGTTGGGATGAATATTAGATTTTCTAACATTAGGAGGAGAGATGATTGACAATTGAAAATTGTGTGTGAGTTTAATTGTGAATTATCTAGATCCTCGTTAAACAAATATGTGAACGTAAAGTTCAAGGGATAATTCATTTGCATAATGTTGCAAATCAATTGCCAGATGAATATACTGAGTCTATGATATAATTCAGCTGCAAGTGCTCCAATGTGAATTTCTTAAAGAACAGAGTCTATGATACGCTAGAAGCATAATATACCAAATCGATTCCAAATATAAAATTCCTTGAAGAAGGAAGTCTGGAAGGAGCAAATGATCAAAATGGTCATGATAATGAGGCAAGTGCTATAAAAGAGCACATTGACATAACACTTCATAAAACCTCGGAAAAGGTTCAAGTACCTAAAAATGATGAAAAATGAAGAGATCTCAATAAATTATGTCTTGTTGGAATCGATATCAAATAACCGTTGATGGTATCTTTGATATGAGGTAGCACTCAATGATATAAATTG